TAAAAGTGTGGGTGTTCTGCTTGGAACTGCAGGGGAGGGAAGAGTAAAGAACCACAATCTGTCTTCCCCATGGCCCCTGACTAGAGCTGGACACCACATCTCCTTCTTTTGGACCGTATTACTTCACCTGGCATACCTGGCGGAGGAAATGAAGCCATTTTCTCCATTTTCATCAAGGCGGGTCACTGCCTGGGACAGGGTGAGGAGAGAGGCAACGTCTGGAACTTCCTTATCTCAACCCTGATAAAATCTCTGACATCGAAACATAAGGGTGAGGGATTGAGATTGTTGTAAATCCTGAAGGGCTGTCAAGAATGTGCTAGACCCACGGAGTGATGCTGAGACAGTGTGCCAGCGTTCTACATGTCCAGCTAAGGTGGAAGAAATGCAAGTTCCTCACCAACACAGAGAGTATGATGCACACATCACATGTCCAGGCAATCTGTGCTCTTCCCTATCCTGGTCCCCCCGCACCATTTTAGCCTTGTTACACGGAAGGTAAAGCATGCGCTTAGTCAGGGTTGTGGGCAGAAACCAGAAAGATAGGTTTGAGGAGCAAAGGCACCATGGTTACTGTTTAAGGTCATAAACTGCTATGCATCTTAGAATGAAGAGTGTCATCACAATGTTTAACGTCATAAATTGCTTTGCGCCTTAGAGGGAACAGTGTCATTGCAAAGCATTTCGACTCACCTTTGGTTCTAAATACTACATGACTTTTTTGAGGACTGAACGGGGGGCATGGGACTCATATACTTTATGGGCACGGCACATATTTCTTAAAGATTTAGGATCAGATCTCTGCTAGTTCCAAAGTCTCAGTAGATGAACATGCACCTGAGAAAACACCTGGGAAGGATTCTGTGCTTTTGGAACACCTTTCCCTCTAGCCATTCAAAGGAGGGTCACATTGTAGCCCTTTTGCCTTTTCCACCACTGTTAGGCTCACCAGCTAGCGGGCCCAGAGGATGCTGACAACAGGTCGGCTTTCATCCTTGGGTCACTGGTTGAGATTCCCCATGGATATGGTCCAATGCAATCAATGGGGACAGCAGCTCCTAGACTCGACTCACGTGGAGGACGAATCGAGGTCTTCTTACATCACTGACTTGGACACTTTCAGGTACAAGCTGTCCCACAGGTCTTCTGTAGCCCAGAGGGGCATAAGATCTATGTGACAGAACGGAGGAACCAGCCTACAGCACACATCTGTTTTACAATGTGAGAGCAGCAGGTGGTTCTCTGCCATGCCTGAAATGGTAGCCAACTAGGTGCTATATTTTATGACTAAATGCCCAGGATTCACCAATCATCAACTATTATCACATAAAGCAGGGACAATGCAGACAGGACACCTGGGCCATTTGTTTCCTAACAATTAGCATCTAATGAGGACTCATTGTATGTAGCACAAAACTAAGTCCTAGACACAGATTATTGCTTTAGATCTTCACAATACCCTGACTTAGGTCCCATTTTACCCCAGGTTCACAGGTGAGGAAACCAAAGGGGCTTAGGCTCAGCAGCTGGCCCAAGGGCAGAGAACTAAGAAAGGGCAGCCAGGGATTTGAACCCTGAGGAGCTGAGCTATGTTACCTGGCCTTTGATTGAAATTTGATGCGGATATGAGAATGTGCAATTAGCATGATAATTCTGGAGTAAGATAAAACAAAATCAAAGCTAAGAACAGTGCCTTCCCACAGAGTAAGTAACCAACATTGACATTTCATCATTCACAGCACCAAAGGCAAGGTTGCTTAGTCAACCTAACATAAAGGAAACAAATATTTTTTTTTTACCTTTTTTTGGTGAAGGATACAGTCACACAATATACATAGATATCTAATATCTCCCGGGTGCAGATAAGCAGTCTAAAACCATCACTGAAGCAAAGGAAATACCCAACTATTTTCAAGTATTCGGGGTAGTGTAAATAAATAACACTATTCTACCCAAACAACAAAACGAAAAAAAGTTAAAAAAATTTTAAAAACCTCAAGTACTTAATAGATAAGTAAAGCCTTTCAAAATGATTTAAAATTTCATTTCACTGTCTAAAATTATATATTCTCAAATGAATCATTATAAGTTGTTTAATAAAGCTTACAGTTTAGCACCTGCAAAGTATCTTATGCATAGTAGGTTTCCAATAAATCTCTTTGGAATGAATGAGTAAATCCATGAATATGCTTTTAAAAACAGACACTGTCCTTTCATTATGTTTAGGATTTTTTTTTAAGTTTTTTTTTGAGATTTTTTTTTAATTCTATGATGCAGGTTGCATGATATTTTCTTATTAACAATTTTTAAATCATTTCCTTAGTAAATTTTTTTTTAAATGAATCTCGGGATGAATCTCTACTTCAAACAAAGGAAAGGAAATAACTACCATCCTGAAAGACAAAAAGAAGTAACTAAATAACGGGCCAGAAATAATTAAAATAATTAAGAACAGAAATGAAGCTTTCAGATATGAGAGATAAAAAGAAAAGCAGCTTCAAAATATCTTTATTAACATTTAAGAAAAATATAAAACTGTTCTTTATGTAGCATGAAAACACACAAAAAAAATCTATAAATTTAAGCCACTGTGACTGGTGAAGAGTAAGACGTTTCCTGGTACTGTATATAGAATTGAATGAATTCAGACCAAGTAAATACCTCTTTCTCAAAAGTGCTGTGGTGCCCTGGGTTACTGTAGGGACTCAACAGTTTAACCAACATGCACACAAAAATAACTCTTCATTTTTAAAAAGAACCTCCAAAAAAACTAATATGAGCATAAAAATACAAATTACTGCAGTTATTTCCACATGGTAAAATGTTAGATTAAATCTACACTAATGAAACAATTCAGTAAACCTGTTATGTTTAAAAGGAAAGAGGAGAGAGGTATATCGAAAATAGTAAAGATTTCTAGCAACAATTTCTACACCTTTCTAGCAGAGCTGTGTCCTCTCACCTAACAGGCAAATCTGAGATTCCCCAAGTATTCCCCAAGCATTAGAAAAATCAATAGCATTAACTTCGGGGTGCCTAAGGTTGCTTTAGCTTTTATCTCATTTTTAGCAACATTAAAAAAAAAGCACAAAAACACAGGATGTGTATAACCTTGGCTCACCATTGCTCTGGCTTCCTTAATACAATATGCTAAAAGAGCCAAAGTGTTGTGGTTTAGTTTCACAAGCTTCATCACACGGTTCTGCCAAAACTGCAAAGCTAATGGGACAAATAAATAGGCTGACCATACTGTACAACAGGTAAAACAGACCCTTAAAGTCAAAGATGGAGCTTTAGTCCTTAAAGAGACATGTGTGCTTTTTTTTTTTAAAGGAAAAAAAAAAATTAGGTAGTAACATTTTCAAAAATAGTAAAAAAAAAAAAAATTAATAAGTGAAATAAAAATACTAAAATAATCCAAATTGAATGTGATTTGTGTTTTCTAAATCCAGTCTACATTTGTACATTGTTTCCATATTAAACAGCCCAAGGTTCTGTCTGTAGATACTTGCTAGAAGATATCTGCAGGAAATGAAGTCTGGTACCTGATTTCATATATGACAAAGCATTTTTTTCCTTAAATTATTGATAAGGACATTGCCTTGATTGTGACTATGAGTCACTAAGCAAAAATTTTAAAGGCCAAGCATTGTTCAGTAAAAGTACATCTCAGTAGTTCTCATGGTTCCAACAAATTTTGAGAACACAAGAACCTGACTCAATTTAAATATTGAAACACAGATTAAGTATGCAAAATATACATTTTTATGCCTAAAAACATAAACACTTTTCATGCTTACAAAATAAGCACAACAAATATTATTTGAGACAAAACCTAGCAATCATATCTGCCTATTACTGTCAACTTTGTTTTTCTGAGAGGCTAATCAAACTACGGAGTAGACATGGGCAAAAGTGGTATAAATCCACGCCAGCCGCCACAGTCTCATTGGGACTCAGTAATCCCACAAGGAAAAAGAAACCACGTGCTAATAATACTCTAAAGAAAAACAAGCTGCTATTTCCCATAGTCTGATGAATTACTTTTTTTACTTTTCCACTTTTTTTCATTCACTGCTTTAAAATATAAGCTTGCTCCTAAGGAGAAAAAAAGGAAGACTTGGTTAGGGACTAAATCTTAAAAGATCCCCAAAGCTGGGCAGATTTATGCAGAAGTCTCTCATCTTCCAACACCTGTTCCTCAAGTTCCTACACTTGCACTTAAGGGGGAAAAATGAGACTGGGAGGAAGCTCCATCTGCTTTACTTTCTGGGCTGGGATTTACACACCTACCTGATGAGTTCTCTCTCACACTCGTTCTCCCTCAAATCTTCAGAGACACACGCACACACATGCAAACACAGACGATGTACCGACCACTGTATGTCCAGGTTTATCAACACATGACAGAGGAGACAAGCCATACTATGATAATCACATCACGGTTAACAGTGAGAAACGGGGTTCTTTTAAAACCCGTTTGGACCCTTCTTGTCCCTATTGCTACTCAGTTTCTCTTCATCCAGGAACTTGAAAGGATCAGAAAGAGAAAACAATTTGCATGAAATGAACAGAAAGAAAACAAGAGCGTTCGCTTTTCGGGGGGGGGGGGGGGGGGTACTACAAAATCAGCAACGGGACCCGGCTGCTCCCAAGGGCAGCATTAAAGACGGCCAGCCCAGCCCCTAGATAAATCGTGTAATCCAGAAGAGTAAATAAGTAAGAGTGGTCATTGTCATTAAGAATGAAAATAGTAATAACGATTGTCACCACGGGGTTCCGTACAGCAGGTGCACACGGAGCGGACTTCTCCTCCAGCCCCCACCGCGCGCAGCCTCCCGGCAGCCGGACGCCGTGGCCGAGAAAGGCCAGTGGGCTCCGCGCGCGCGGAGCCGAGCCGAGGGGCGGGACCCGCTCCCCGAGGCTCCTCGGGCACGCGCCCCGCCCGGCCCCGCCCGGCCCCGCCCTCCTCTCTAGCGCCTGAGAGTCCCGCGGCCAGGGCGGTATTATCGCTTCCGGTTGATAGGGCCAGTCGCCTTGGCCTCTGTCCGCTTTGCCAGGGGACGAGGGTAACCTAGGTGCTTCCCGCGGGAAGACCCGCCACCTCCATTGACCATTACCTTGCTGCCTAAATTCCGAGGCAAAGAGGAAAGAGGAAAAGCCAGTTATTTTGAGAAGCAGCTGATTGCCTTAAAGGATGGACCGGTATTCTCCGATAATATGGAAGGAAAATTACCAGCATCGAGTGGACGTACTAACAGGGATAATACCTTGAGCCCTTGTGTGCAAAGTTATCTATTAGGGATAAAACGGCCCATTTATGCAGCTCCAAAGCATTCCCTTCTGGACTGTCAACGGAAGAGTGATGGGTCAGGCACTTTGATGCTGCCCTGAAATCTAAGGTCATGTTTTGGGGGTCCATCTTCTGGCATCATTTCTAAATAGTACTAATTGGAATAGAGATCCTGGAAAATCTAATTAGATTGAAGATCATCTTATTTTTTGATTAAATAGTATAACCCAACTAGTAGTGGTTGCAGTTTATAACAAGTCATTATTACAGAAAGAAAACAACTTATTTGTGAATGGTTAGGTATTGTGGGTTTTAAGAGGCTGTCATGGAGGGACTTCCTTATCTTTTTGACCAAATCTTTTTCCAAATATGTGAAGTGATAACATTTTGAAGGTAGAGGAAAAAAATGAGTGTTGTTTCTACTGCTCTGGAAAATCAGTATTTACTAGATGATATAATACTGGCAGACTGAATATTTTTGCTAACATGGGAAATTTTAGAATGATCCTGATTGGTAATAGTATATGTATGTTAAGATTCTGTGTGAATTGTAAACCTAAATTTTATCTAGATTCTTTCTAGAAGTTTTAAAGAATTTTCTTTCTTATCCTCTCTTCTATAGGAATTCTGCTTGGACTCAGTACAATATTAGCACAGAATGATTTTCACTAAGATGTAATCTAGACTGTAATGAATGATTTTTCAGCAACAGTTCAAGCATAATCAAAACGTTTGCAACTCTCAATTAATAGCTGTGAAAAACAGTGCTTATTGTTCATTAAAATGCAAGAGCACCCACAACTACTTCGAAGACCTTTACCTCCAAAATTCCCTAAGCTGCCTTTAAGTAAGAAGAAAGTCCATACAGGTATGTGTATTAGTCAGACATGTTATTAAGTTTATTTAGTTTTCATAGAAATTCCTTAACCTGCACAGTTCAGAATCACAATAATAAGAGACACCCACTAATAACCAGTAACTTACAAATGTTTGTTGTGAGATGATAACATCCAGTTCAATTCTACAATTACAGTTGATCCTCATTGTTCGTGGATTCCATAGGTGCAAATTTACCTAACTGCTAAAATTATTTCTGACCCCCAAAGCAGTACCCTGTGCTATACTTCACCATTTTGTAATTTTATTTATTTGTCAGAGAGAGAAAGAGGGAGAGAGAGCACAAGCAAGGAGAGATGGAGGGAGAAGCAGGCTCCCTGCTGAGCAAGGAGCCTTGACAGGGGACTAGATCCTACAACCTTGAGATCACGACCTGAGCCAAAGGCAGGTACCCAAACAACTGAGCCACCCAGGTGCTCCTATAGTTTGTCTTTTTAACTCAATGATATGCAGAATACTTCAGAGCTGTAGAGAGAGCTCTTTCTCCTTTTATAATAGGTGAACTGTATGCAGGAGAGCAGTATATAGGGCGACTCTTGGTCCTTATGACCAGGATGGTGAAAACACACGCTCCCAGTGGACATCCAACAAGGGATACGCTCTGCCTTCTTATTTCAGCTCTCATACTGTAAACAACAGCCCCTTGCTCAGTCTGTTTTCAGTCTTTTCTCAGTGCCTGTTTTTAAAATTTTTGTGCTTTTTGTTGGTGATTTTGCTGTCTAAAAGAGCCCCTTGGGGCATAGTGCTGTCTTGTGTTCCTAAGCACGAAGAAGGCCTGTGCCTTACAGACAAAAAACATATATGTTGGCTAAGCTGCTTTCAGGCATGAGTTGCAGTGTTGTTGGCTGTCTGTTCAATATTAATGAATCAACAATATATATTAAAGTGTCTTTAGGGGCGCCTGGGTGGCTCAGTGGTTAAGCATCTGCCTTCGGTTCAGGTCATGATCCCGGGTTCCTGGGATCAAGCCCCGCATCAGGCTCCTTGCTCAGCGGGAGGCCTGCTTCTTCCTCTCCCACTCCCCTGCTTGTATTCCCTCTCTTGCTCTCTCTCTCTCTCTCTCTCTCTCTGTCAAAAATAAATAAATAAAATCTTTAAAGTGTCTTTAAATAGAAACACGTATAAAAGAAGATTGTGTAGTGATTGGTTGCTGATACTGTTGAGAGCAGAGACCTAGAAGAACCTGACACTGGATTTTTCCTAGAAGCAACGGCTCAGTGTTGGATAATTCAGTGTTCACTGAAATTTTTATAGAACAGAACAGTCGTAAATAACAAGAATTGACCATACTTTTGAGCACAGTGCTAGGAATTGAGGGTGTAATAGTGAGCAAAAGAGACACTGTCCATCCTCTTCATTGATTACCCTCTGGTTGCATCAAATAATCATGTAAGTAAATGTAAAATTACCCTGTGATAAGTGCTATGAGGTGAAGACAAGCCACTTGAATAACTATCACTTTACATAATATACCCATAATCCTGTACTTCCGTGTGAGGTATATTGACTCCTTACTTACAGCAATGATAAAAGTAGCATATTTCCACTTCTTTCCCCTTTTCAGTCTCCTCAACCACCTGATTTTCATTGATTGTGTTCATTATTTTATAACATATTTCCTTATTTTAGTGTCAACATTTATACTGTTAAAATATGTCTAGTCCGTAACTTGATTTACAATGTTAAATTACTACCTTTGAATGAGGCTATTAAAGATGTATAAATCAACATGCTTATACTACCTCCAATCTCCTATCCCACTGTCCCTTTCAACTTTTGTTATGTTCTTTCTACATTTCTTTAGGTGTTCTACATTTCTACATTTACAATCTGTTCTATAAAAATAATACCCACACAGTTATGTGGATTTACTGCTCACCACCAATTCTTTTGTTGTAGTTTTTTCATTCATCTTTTAGTTGAAGTTTATCTGCTGAGTACAGGACTGACTAATTCTTTTTGGGGGGTGGGGGGGGCCTCTACTGTTTTTTGTCAACTCAGAGGTTCTATGACCTTGGCTGTTACTAATCCCATGTTTCTGAAGGCTTTTGGTGGAGGACTTTGCATGTAATAGGTGTTTAAAATATTTGTTCATTAATACTTAAAATGACTCAAGTACAGTTTATAAAAATGAATATTCAACACATTTGAAATAAAACCCTGAAATAAATATCTATAATTTGCATATGATTCTAGATACTGTAGGGAATTAATAACCTGAATGATCTGGTACAAGTCTTTTAGGACATTTCAAGACCTTTAATCAAGTTTTAAAGATGAGTTACACATAAAATCAGAACCTTAAATAACAGTATAAGGCAGCATAGAATTTATGCCCAATTAATGGTACAGATAGTAGTTCATAGATAGGAGAGAGTACAGGGGCAGGAATGGGGCTTGAACTAAGACTTGAGGAATTAGTAGAAGTGGAATGAAATATGTTTTATAGAGGAGATCTGTATAGTTTCTGATGGCAGAGGAGTCTTTTAGAAAAGTAGAAATTTAATATGTTAGGAAAAAAAAAAAGAAATCATGGGGAAATGTATCAAAAACTTGGGAAGTACAGAATTGAAAAGACAGATAGCATCTTCACTGGGAGGATTTCCCTAAGCATCTCTTCCCTCCTCGAGTCAGAGTACCTTCCTTTATGCTCACGTAGTTTTCTACCATTACCCCACCAAGGACTTATTCTCTGGTGTAACTCTTTTGGTTTTGTTTGTTTGGTTGGTTGGTTGGTTCGGTTTGATTTGTTGTTGTTGTTGTTGTTTAGATTTTATTTATTTATTTGAGAGAGAGAGCACACAAGCAGGGGGAGGGGCAGAGGAAGAGGAAGAAGCAGACTGCCCACTGAGCAGGGAACCAGATGTGGGACTTAATCCAAGGACTCTGGGATCATGACCTGAGCCAAAGGCAGATGCTTAACCTGCTGAGCCGTTCAGGTGCCCCCTCTAGTGTAACTGTTTACCTGACTAATTTCTATACTAATTTGTGAGGTGTTTGCTGGTAGTAAGGTCTGTGCTAGGTGGTTGTACCCTCAGCACTGTGTGCAGCTGGGCACATGGCATGTGCTAAATGTTTATATAATGAATGAAAACGGTTAAGTGTGGGCTATATTAATCAGGAAAAATGGATTGAATAAGGCTTAATGTAGACTTTGAAAGAAGAAAATGATTTCAGTTGGTTCATAAGAGAAGGTATTCCACACGGTGTGATCAACCTAAGAAATGAAATTACACATGAGTAGGGTGGGCTTTGTGGTTGTCAGTAATAATTAGAGTATCCAGAGGTTTCCACTGGAAGTTAATGAGTCATTACCCAGCAAGGTTAGGTGAAGTGGATCCAATTCACATAGGTTTTATTCACCAAACTAAGGAATCTGAGTTATCACTGATAAGACTCAGATAATTTGATGGAAATGTTATCAGGCTATGTCAGAAAATCAAGGTTGAAGTTAAATTGATGTCAAGTAGGATGATGGAAGTGAAAATTAGAAGGGAAAATCTGGGTTTTTAAAAAAATATCACTTAACTGCAAGAGAAGAAGTTTAAAATGCAAGACCCTGTGTGAAGGCACTTCATAAACTTTAAAATCATTGTGTAGTTGTGAGACATTACACTACTTGTAATACTTCTTACTCGGCCTGCAATTGTTTACTGACTTACAGCAACTTGGAAAGTGCAAAAGGCCCTAGAGTGGGAGTCCAGGGATCTGAGTGCTGGTCTTAGTTCCAACACTGATATGATGCATGGCTTTGGGAAGTCATTCAGTGGGTGGGTCTTATCTTTCTATTCTGAAACAGCAGAACTTAATTAGGTCAATGATTTTTCAATCCTTTTCTCCACTGTAAAACAGAGGACATGGGACATGAATCCTTCAGAACAATAGCTCACTTCCTCTTTGATTCTCCTGATAGAAAAGGAGAGGGGAGTGGAGTGGGGGAGGAAAAGAAGTAGAGAATTAGAAGCTTTGGAGCTGACATATATAATTTGAGTATAGCCCGGAGGTGATTCACTGGGTGTGTTATATGTGAGGACTGAGGAATTGGAAGTATGTGGACTGAAAAGTAACCCCATAAGAAGATAACAATATCCTAATCTCTACAGTTATCTTATTTGGAAAAAAAAAAAGTTATATGGGGTTACAGATAGAATCAAGTTAAGGATCTTGTGATGAAAGATTATTTTAGATTATCCAGGTGGGCCCAAAATGCAATCACGTGTATCCATATAAGAGAGAGGCAGAGATAGATTACGCATACACAGGAGAAGATGATATGAAGATGGAGCAAAGAGAGATTTGAAGATGCTGGCCTTGAGGATAAGCATGGTGTGACCACAAGCCACAGAGTGCTAGCAGCCACCAGAAGCTGGAAGAGGCAAGGAATGGATTCTCCATAAGAGAATCCAGAGAGAACACGGCCATGCTGACACCTGGATTTTTGGCTCAGTGGTATAATTTTGGCTTCTGGCCTCCAGAAGTGTGAGAGAGTAGATTTCTGTTGCTTTAAGCCACCAAGTTTGTGGTAATTTGTTACAGCAGCTAGAGGAAGCTAATTACAAGAGGAATTCAAGAATCCAGGATTCCAGTGTGTGTGTGTGGTGTGTGTGTATGCACATGTGTGTAACGAGATAACAGATGTACCTCGATGAGATAAAGAAGATCAGAAACTGTTGATGAATAGACATGAGACGTTTGAGGTGCTTAGGGCTTCCAGACCCAGACTTAGAATTACTGTATATGGAAAATTAGTTAAAGTCAGATAAAGTCAGAGGGATAATGATAGAACTTTTGGGAATACTAAATGGTAATCTGAGAAAGAAAAATTTGTCTAGAGAAAGATGAATAGCCAGGTGGCATTAATGGAGAAATGATGGTGTCCTCATGAGAGCCAAGGAAAGAGCGAATTTCATGGAGTAGAGAGTAGATTAAAGTATCAAATGCTAAAAAGAGGTCAAATAGTAATAATGTGTATCCATTAGGTTTAGCAACCAGACATTAATAACTTTGTGATAACAGCTTTGGTAGTAGAGGTGGGAAAAGTTCCAAGTCATAATGGTTTGAAAAGTAAATGGGAGGACACTCTGAAAGGACAATAAAAGAAACTTTTATTATAAATTAAATATCCTTTCTAAATGCAGCACATCAAACTTAGGTTGTCTTGGGTTTTTTGCGTATCAAGATAGCTGAAATTTAAAGTACGAATACCAATCAATAAAGTATATATCAACTAAAAATAAAAGAAAGTAGAATCAGATGAATTATCAGTGTATATCACAAACTTCAGGGAAACCACTTAGTTTTTTTTAAAAGAAGTCCAATTGATATGCTAAGAGAGAAACTGAGAAACTGAATCATAAAATGCTCAGTTGAAACCAGAAAAAGAAGAAAAGGATGGGAAGATTAAAAAAATGCAGCAGCAGCAGCAAAACAATAGTAAAGAATGGAAAACTTTATAAATGTGGCAGACATTAAGCCAATAATATCCATAATTCATTACAAATTAATGGTCTAAGTATACCAATTAAAAGACAAACTGTTACAGCAGATAAACAAGACCCAACTCTATGTTGTCTCTAAGAAACTTACTTTAAGTATAACTTCCTTTAGGTTAAAAGTAAAGGTGCAAAGAAAGACATACTGTACTAATGCTAATTTTAAAAAAAGCTGAAAAAGCTATATTAATTTCAGACAGAGCACATTCAGAACAATAAAAATTATTTGGGATAAATAGAGGCAATACTTAATTATAAAAGGGTCAATTCTTTAAGAAGACATAATAATCTTTGACATGTACCCAAAAGAGAGAGTTAAAATATCTGAGGCAAAAACTGCTAGAATTGTTAGGAGAAATAGATAACTCCACTATTATAGTATAAGAGTTCCACATTCCTTATCAGTAATTAATAGATTGCAGGTGGAAAACTAGTAAGGATATAGTTGAACCGAATAGTACCAACAATCAATAGGATCCAATTGTCTTCATCTAACAACAGCAGAAAACATCTTCCCAAACTCCTATAAGACACTCATCAAGCTAGACCACATTCTGGGCCATAAAACACACTTCCAAAGAACAGATATTGTACACTATTTGCTCTCAGAACACAATAGAGTTAAACTAAAAATCAATAACCGAAAGATATGTAGAAGTCCCAAAATATTTGGAGATTATACAACACACTTAGCTAGGACATGGGTCAAAGAAGTCACAGAGATATTTTAAAATTGTTTGAACTAAATGAAAATAAAAATACAACCTATCAAAATGTGTGGCACATAGCAAAAGTAGGGCTTAGAGAGTATGTAGAGCCTTGAATGCATATATTAGGAGAAGAAGATTAATCTAAAACAAATACTCTAAGCTTTTACCTTGGGAAACTAGAAAAGGAGAAGACTAGGTACCCTAGTCAATCATTCAGAGGAGAATCTAGATGAACTCTAGAAGCAGAATGCCAATGCTGATGGATGCCTTCACGGGCGCATTTCCGTGAATGATACGAATTCATTAAAAGACTAATAACTATCATACCACCCTCAACATGAATTTTCAGAAGTATCCAAAAGGCAAAATAATAACACAATAAAAAAATATATAAGTGGTTGCCAGAAGTTTGTTCAGGGAGAGGAGAAGTGTTGAACAGGTGAAGCACAGGGAATTTTAAAGTCGTGCAATTATTTTTTAGGGTATTGTAATAGTGAATGCATGACATGACGCATTTGTCAAAATTCATGGAACTGAACAACACAGAGAATGAACCCTAATGTAAACTATGGACTCTAATTAATTGTATGTCAACATTCGTTCATCAATTATAATAAATGTACTACATTAATGCAAGATGTTAATAACAGATAAAACTGTGTGCAAGGGAGGGGAATGTATGGGTATTGTCTTCTTGCTCAAGTTTTTCTTTTTTAATCTAAAACTGTTCTAAAAATAAAGTCCTTTAATTTAATTAAAAGTTAGATTAAATAAAGTGAAACAACAGAGAGGAGAAGAAAAGACATGAAACGGAGTGTAAATTACTTCAGTTTGCCATTGAAGGGAAGGATAACTATGGTGAGATGATGGTAGAGGTCTGGAGTTGGTTGAGGATTTTGCTTGTGTTACCATGTTTGTTTTAATATGGGAGAGAGGGAAAAAAAGGTGAAGATAGTGGTATAACCATTTTATTGAATGAGCTAGTTTTTATTAGTTTTATATAAGGAGGAAGGAAACATTCTTCTCCTCCTCCTACTGCCCTTCACACTCACATGGCACCGATCTCTCTTCCCAGGATTTTCTCATCACTGTCCTCTATGAGCCTGGTTTCATTTTCAGATATTAAACAAATAGTTCAACCTAAATCATTACTTTTAACAAGCATGTACTCAAACCTTGCCCCTTCTCCCAGCTCAGACTAGGTCTGCTAATTTGTAGACAAGTCAAAGGAAACAGGGTCATAATAAGTTCTTCCATCTTGTTCTTTACTTCTTTTCCACAACTGATAGTTTCTGCTCCTGCATAGGTGGGGTTAGGGGTGGGGAAGAGTTAAGGAATGAAGGTAAGAATCACACATCAGTCTCAGCACCCCCTGAAATGCCACGAGATACAGATCAAGTAGTTTCAAGGACGCTCTTGCCTTGCTCCAACTGGAACACAGCCCTGGAAGGACTAATATTTTTTTTGCTACTCTGTATTAGTGGGGGGTGCCAGTAGGGGAGTGGTAAGATGTTTTATTCTCCTTGTGGCATACACTCCTCTTTTTCTATAAATGCTTCTCTGAGAATTCCCCTCACATGGCTTGAGGTGGGGGAAAAAATCATCCTAATCCATCCTCCTCAGGGAGGGGAAGTTCAGGAAAACACATACCACCCCAATAGTGCTATTCAGAAGAATTCCTCTCTCTGAATTCAGGCCAGTCTCCAGCCATCTCTTAAAAGGGTGAGAGTTGGACTTGTTTTGGCCATCTCTTTCCAAGTCTTGCCTTAATGTAGAGGTCCTCATCATTTATTGTACTCAACTGAGACAATGGAAGAAAAGTCATTTCACATTCAGTCACAAAGGAGAGAGAAAGCATATTTGTGTAGTGAGGTACTGAAGAATGCAGGCACAGTGCATTTTCTGGACCTAAGAGAGAAAAGAACATTTACCATTGTAACCTAACTGAACTTGTAGTACGTTGTAGCCAATATCAGGATGTTATAGTGTTTGGACATTGGTCTGCCATTTGGCATTGAAAAGAAATGTCTTTGCTTGAAGAAGTTTCAAATGAGGAAGAGATAGATAAATAGCAAAACTTCATCCAAATCATTTTTGCCCACCCATACTTCAGTTTTAGTAGTAACTGCTCAAAAACAAAACAAAACAAAACAAACAAACAAACAAACCCACCTCCCTTTATGTCCTATTATTCTATCAATTCTGTTCTTCCAAGAGTTTCTCCCTACCCTTTCTAAACCTAATACAATTTAGTATTTCCACTTCCCAGTTGATAACTCAAGCTTTACCCCAGTCAGCTAAACAAAAGTCCTGATAGCTGAGCAAACATATACGGAAAATTTTAGAAGGCGAAAGAGGGGTGAGTAAATAAAGAAAAGCTATGAATGCTAACACATTAATAGTTTTGTCCCTGATACCTTGATAAATATAAACTAATTGTGTTTTCTTTTCTTTCTGGTTTAGCCAAGACTGGTAAAACTGAGCCAAAACATGTAACGTTCATTCAAGATGAAACCACTTCAACTGAAAGAAAGAAAACTAGTTTTCCTGATGTTTCAAGAAGTCAACCACAAACCCTTGTCAATATCCAAAATCTCTTTCTTGATCATTATATACAAGAAAGAGTGACTACTATTTCAATACCCAGAAAAACTTCTAAGAATGTGTATTGGCACATTCCAGAGACTGCTACTGGTTCCTTATTTTTTCCAACCTGTCATTCGGCCTCAAGTCGTGTTTTTGGGAAAGAAATAAGACAAATGAAAAGGTCAAGAAAATCAAAAGAAAAAGCATCAAAAATAAAAAATATTTATTTTGGTGACGTGTTCAAAGACATTGTGATTTTCTCCTCAGAGTTCTCCAGACTTCCAAGTACTACTTCCCCAGCTATTTCTCCCAAACCCAAGGAAGTTCTATCTGCATCTACCTACACTTTTAGGCAACCTCTGATAGGTGCAAGAGCAACTGTGCCAAGCCCTATAGCAAGACCTAGTTGTGTTAAAGGAAGAAGATGGTGGGCTAAACATTTAAAACAAGATACTGCTGTGGTACTAAGTATTACTCATTTTCCAGGTCCCATCTCCATACCAACACCAGTTTTGCCAAGAAAACCTCGAAGACAGTCTTTGTTAGGTAAATGCATTCTGAACATGGTTTGTGATAATGAGGTCAAGTAGAGCAAGGGAGAGAGATGGCATGAAAGCACAGTGTGGTTATCCCTTGTGTTTGCAGTTTGGATGATGGGATCACTTTTGGCTCATACATTCAATATATGAGCCAGAATGCAGTAGCAGAAATACTGACTTTGGAGGTCTCCCAAGGTCAAACCACGTGCTTTACCTCGATGGTGGTAGTGGGAACCAGATGAGGACATTCAAAGGATCAGAAAAGTCAATATAAAAGAGCAGTGGGAATAAACAATCATTCAGATGGTAATCTAGATGAACTCCAGAAGCAGAATGCCCATGCTGATGGATGCCTTCATGGACACATTTCCATGTATAATACAAATTCATTAAAAGATGAATAATTATAATGAAATCACAATACCCTTAACACAAATTTTCACAGGAATCCAAAAGTTGGTTCATTTTTTTCTTTTTTCTAGAAACTCAGGTAGCAGAATCTGAAAAGGTAGAAAGTACTCCGAGACAAAGCACACCAAACCTACCTGAAGGTAAATGCTATATCATTCTTTAAAAAACTGCATATAAGTTTATCTCTCTATAAAAATATTCATGACTTTGTGTGTCAGTGTATGTGTGTGTGATTCATATATATGTCTCACCACATTTTTAGAGCTCAACTCAGCTCTTCAGGCCATTTACTTAGCAACTATTTTTTTTTTTTTATATTGACTTTAAACCAAACTGGACTGGTGTTGGGAACATAGAAAAGATCCTTAATCTGGGTGGGGCAGGTAAACATGAAATAATGAAAATTAACTACTTTCCACATGCCAGTCACTGTTCTAAGTGCTTTGGCTTTAGTTGTCCAGCAAAAACAAATGAAAAATAATCTTTAAAGAAAATTATATCATCCTAGACTCACATTATTTTTACAAATAATTTCACAAATACCGTGTGTAGTAAGCAATTCATAATTGTGAGGCACACAGAGAGACAAAATTAATGTGAACTAGCAAAAAAGTAAATAGTGAAAACATACCCACAGGAGAGCCAGGTGTTAGAATTATCAGATACAGATTTTAAAATAACTTGAAGACTTTTGGTCTGTCTACAGTTGAGTAGCTTGTATTGGACAAATCCACCAAAATCAACTATTAAAGCTGCCCAAAATATAGAAAAACGCTATTGAAGGTATTGGAAAGTAACCATTGTAGGCCTGATGTGAGTGGCTACAATCTTTGAAATAAGGGAAGCTTGTAAATCAGCTCTCCATTTACCTTGCCTTTTGCCTGAGGCCGTTTGTGGTGTTAGAGAATAGAGCACAAGTAGAAAGGGGGAGTATAACCGAGTTGAGGAGATAGCCATCAGACTTCAGAGCTGTCAGTATAGCTGGGGCTTGATGCAAAATCTCAGAGAGGAGAGAAGTGAATCCAAATATCTGCATACATATCTGCTCATTTCTAATCTGTGCATGTGCAGGATAAAACTCTAAGAAATACAGCAGGAAATATCAGTGAGATGCAAAGGAAGTGAACATATATTTTCATAGTAGCATGGAAGGCAATTATTGGAATTAAAGCTCTGCCAAAATGTAGGGGTCTTGTAAATACACTGAGCTTTTAGTTGAAGACCCAGAGGACCCATGTGTTTAGGTATAAGGATGATGTTTTAGAAAAAGGCACAAAACTAAAGTAGATTATCCCTAACAAAGCTCAAAACCAAGCCTTAATGAATCAAAGTGATACTTTTTGCCTAATCAAAGAAAATTTAACACTTGTTGGAGAGATGTTGCATTAACCTGATCCTTTAAAATTTTCATCCACAATGTCTAGCATTAAACTTAAAAGAATCACAAGACATCCTAAAAACAGGATAAAGTGAATCAGTAGAAAGAAACAGATAATAGAAACAGACCCATAGAATCAGATACTGAAGTTTTCAAATGGGGATTTTAAAATAATTGTGACTACTATGTTTAAGAAAATAAAGAATAGGGGCACTTGGGTGGTGGTTCAGTTGTTAAGCATCTGCCTTCAGCTCTGGTCATGATCCCAGGGTCCTGGGATCGAGCCCCACATGAGTCTCTGCTCAGCAGGAAGCCTGCTTCTGCTTCTCCCTCTCCCACTCCCCCTGCTTGTGTTCCTTCTCTCACTGTGTCTCTCTCTGTCAAATAAATAAATAAAATCTTAAAAAAAAAAAAAAAGAATAGTTGGAGAATTTTACTAGAGAACTAGAATTTTTGTTTTTAAAACCAAGAGTCAAAATTCTGGAACAGAAAAAATAATATAACAAATTAATGATTCAATTAATGATTAAACATAGAACATTCCAACTATAGAACTTTCTCTTTTTTCCTAGTTTAATTTACTTATTGTGAAATGATTACCACAAGAAAGTAATATCTATCACCCTACATTTTTCTTGTTATGAGAATTTTTAAGATTTCAAATATACAGGACAGTATTGTTAATTATAGCAACCATAGGACTCTCTGAGCATGTTATCCCTCCCAATAATTCTGTACCATTATCTGTGACATCAGTTAACTTCTCAGTCTCCTCCACATCACAAGCTGAAACAAGTCATGCTGCTACTTCTGATTTGTTGAGATTGTCCCACTCTGGTGGTTCCTTCTTTGAAAAGTTTCAGGTGTGAGTTTAATGGTCTTCAGATCCTTCAGAGATCCATCAGGGAATTTATACTTAATCTCTCCATCTCCATTTCCTTCATTTCCACTCAAAAACCAATGGCTTGGACTTAGTCCATGAGGATAGGTGAACTGGGAGCAGGCCACAGACTTAGGTCTTAACTCACTTTCCTTTCCTTCTTGCTCCACTTTCTCCCAAGACAAGGACTCTATCATATCACACATCTTTCTGCTGCAGTTAACTTTTACACATATTGATCTGAAATGGGCACACAGGGCCCATTTTATAAATAGAAACTGAACACTGTTTTCTCTAGTCTAAGATGCATTATTTCCTTTTGTTGAAGCAATGGCATAAGAATTACTGAGGTTGTAAAATATGTTGCTGCAAATAATGCAGCAAGAATGGCTATGAATATAAAATTTATATTACAAAATTTCACAACATTTTCCTGCTGCACTTAGGTGCATACTTGGATAGGACATTTTTGATAGAAAGTGAAGCCCACAAGGGTCATGATAAAGTAAATTTAGATGATCTCTGTTTGGCTAACTTCTGAGTTGTTTGGATTTTTCTTCTTGTATGGGGTCTTCAAACTGAGAGAAGGAAGCTGAATTATATATGCACTTGAAAAACGCATCAAGATGGTATTAGGAGAAAAAGCAAGGTTGTTCCTTAGGAGGTGATCTCTATCTGACTTAGATTATATGATGTCCTTTATTAGTTTTATGAAGCAAGAAGCTCCTTATGTAAATTAATAAAATTTAAAAAATATATTTTTACATACAACACAAAAAGACTGAGATTGGTGGAATTTAACTTATCTAGATAGAAATTTATAAGCATATGGTTGTCTTTTTGAAAGGCAATTGTACTATCTAATATGTGGAAAACACACACACAACAACAACAGCAACAACAACACCTAGTTTAGCAACAAGGTGAGATAGGGTGGGGGGACATTATGAGGAATCTTTTCCAGAGGATTTACACAGCTAACCTATTTATGATGATTCACTGTTATCATATCATCAATACTTTTTAACTTTCATTCTAAGTGCTAACACAGTTGAGTCTCATGTTTTCTTCTATTTACTTAGGTATTGTTAAATCTAGAAAACAAGAGGAACCACAGGTACATCTCATACGTGGTGGAGGTCTTAAGACTATCAGTGCAACACGATATGAAACAATAATAGCCATGACCAACCTTGCCGTAGTAAACTGTCAAATATATGGAAGAAATGCACTTAATCTTAAGGTATGCTAGATTGTTTTAATGGCAACTTCTTTTTGTATTACCTATTATTTTTACTTTAGGTTTCTTAATTTAGGTTAATTTCCATGTTATTGAAGGGATCTTTCCTGTTGCAATAGAGATTCTCCAGGAACACATTCAGATTTATCTCTAAACCTATGTCTTAGTTTGCCTTCCTTCCAGTTTCTTAAAATGTTAAGATCCAAAGCAATTATAGTGTTTTTTCATTATCTAGCATGATAAGAAAAGTAGGATTCAGAATTATTATATTTTAAAGCTATCAGAAATCTTTGGCCCCTGTGCCAAATCTAGAAATAGGCTGACTTTTTGCTGAACGTGAACCTGGTATGATGAATAGCAATAATAATAGTTACTTACCACTTATTAAGCACCCACTATGTGCAAAGAAAATGTTACTCTTAAAATAGGTATTATAATCTTCATTGTGCAGATAGAAGCACTGAAGCCCAATGAAAATAGCTCGTGAAAGACTACACAGCAAACAAGTAGTAGAGCTTGGGTTTGAAGGCAGGCCTCTTTGACCTCAAAATCTATGCTTTTTTATTTTAAATTTTGTTTTGAAATAAATTCAAACTCACAGAAAAATTGCAAAAATAGGAAAAGCTATAAGAGTTTCTTGGGGGAAATTAGGGATTCAAAAATGCCTCTGCATACTGGGGGATTTAAAAAGCTAGGTGCATGGCCAGCACAGGATGCATTCTCAGAAAAGGCCCAAGAAGACTCCAAGCTTTCACCACCTTTTAATGGTCTAGCTAACCATTGAAAGGGTGCCCCTCAATAGAGCCAATCTGAAAAGACCAGAAGAAATATTATTCTCTCTCCTCCCAGTCCTGTTTTACAGGACTCTTTCAAAACACTGACTGAACACAAGCTAAAGGAGCACAGATTTCAAAGACAACATGTGAGAATGTAAAGACAACAAAAACGATTTAGAAAAATCACTAAACCAACAGCAACAGCCCACAGCAAGCAACAAAAATAAACACTGAGAAGGGGGATAATATAGTTTTTGGAGTTACCACATTATAATATTGAAAGTATTTAGTTTTCAACAAAATATGTGTAACATGTGAAGAAACGATATGGCCTAGTCATTGTAGAAATTAATAGACTCTGTCTCTGAGGAAGCACAGACATTGGACTTGCTAGAAAAAACCTTCAATTCAACTGTCTTAAATATGCTGAAGTAGCTAAAAAATGAAGAAGAGGAAGAACGATGTGTGAGCAGAGATTTATCAAAAAAGAGATAGAAATTATAATGGGGAGGCGTGCCTGGGTGGCTCAGTCATTAAGCGTCTGCCTTCGGCTCAGGTCATGATCCTAGGGTCCTGAGATCAAGCCCCACACCGGGCTCCCTGCTTAGCAGGGAACCTGTTTCTTTCTCTTCCTCTGCTGCTCCCCCGGCTCATGCTCTCTCCCCTCACCACCCCACCCTGGCCCCAGCAAATAAATAAATAAAATCTTTTTAAGAAAAAAGAAAACAAAATTATAAAGAAGAAACAAAAAGAGCTGAAAAATATAATAACCAAAACATTGGAAGTTTTCAATAGTAGAATTGAGCAGGCAAAAGAAAGAATCACAGAACTGGAAGATAAGTCAATTGAAATCATCCAGTATGAGGAACAGAAGAAGAGGATGAAGAAGGAGGAGAAGGGGAAGAAGGATAAGAAGGAGAAAAAGGAGGGGGGGAGGGGAAGAACAAAGGGAAGGGAAAGAAGGAAAAGAAGAAGAAAAAAAAATGAATAGAGGCTAAGAGACCAGATACCATCAAGTGAACCAAATAGAGGTAATGAAAGTCCTAGAAGAAGAGGAGAAAGAAGAGAGCAGAAAGAACATTTGAAGAAATAATGGCCAAAACCTTCCCAAATTTGATTAAAGCTACAAATCTACAGATCCAAGAAGCTTAACAAATTCCAAGAAGGGTAAACACAAAGAGATTCACAATGAGACACATTATAATCAAATTGTCAAAAACTAGAGAAAAATCTTGAGAACAGCAAGAGAGGAATGATTTGTCATGCATAAGGCATCCTAAAAATTAATAGCCAGTTTGTCTTCAGAAACCATAGAAGACAGAAAGGAATGGGATGACATTTTTAAAGTGATGAAAGAAAAGCAATTTCTCAGCCAAGAATCCTATATCCAGCAAAACTGTCTTTTGAAAAACAAATGAGAAATTAAGATGTTCTAAGGTAACCAAAAGCTCAGGGAGTTCTTCAGGGTGCAATGAAAAGACATTAGACAGCAACTCAAAACCTTAAAAAGAAATAAAGGAATCTGGTAAAGGTAACTACACAGGTAAATGTAAAACTCAGTATTATTCTATTTTTGGTTTGCAGCACTTCTTTTTATTCCTTATGTGATTTAAAGATAAATACATAAAATAATAATTATAAATCTCTGTTAATGGACATACAATGTATAAAGATGTCACTTTTGACAATATGTCATAAAGTAGGGCAGGGATGGAGTTGTATAGGAACAAAGATTTTACATGCTATTGAAATTAACTTGATATCAATCCAAACTAGATTGTTAAAAATTAAAGATGCCAACTGTAATTCCCATGGTAACAACTACTAAGGAACTATCTTTAAAATATATACAAAAGAGAATGAGAAGAAAATCAATATGGCAGATCACAAAATAATTAAGCTCCAAAAAGGCAATAATTAAAGAACAACAATGAAAAACATTTTGGGAAAGGCAAAATTATAAAGACAGTAAAAATAAACAGTGGTTGCCAGGGATGGTGGAGGAGGGAGGGAAGAATGAGCAGGAGGGGTATAGGGGATTTTGGGGACTGTGAAATTTTTTTGTGTGGCACTGTGCTAGTGGATATATTTCATTATACATTTGTCAAAACCCATTGAACATTCAACACAAAGTTTGAACTCTGATGTGAATCATGGACTTGGGTTGATAATGGTGTGTGTTAATGTTAGTTTATTGATTATAACAAATACATCATACTGGTGTATGGAATGTTGACGTTGGGGACCAGGGGAATGTGGGTAAAGGGGAATGTGGAGAAGAAAAATCTCAAATCAATAACCTTGAACTTGAAGAGCAAAATAGAACTGAAGAACTTGAACAAAAGAGCAAAATAAACCTTAAACTAGCAGCAAGAAGGAAATAAGAAAGATTACAACAGAGATTAATGAAATAGAGACAGAAAAGCAGTAGAATTGGGGCACCTGGGTGGCTCAGTGGGTTAAAGCCTCTGCCTTCAGCTCAGGACCTGGTCTTAGGGTCCTGGGATCAAGCCCTGCATCAGGGTCTCTGCTCCGCAGGGAGCCTGCTTCCTCCCTCTCTTTCTGCCTGCCTCTCTGCTTACTTGTGATCTCTGTCTGTCAAATAAATAAATAAAATCTTTAAAAAAAAAAAAAAAAGAAAGAAAAGAAAAGCAGTAGAATTAACAAAATCAAAAGTTAGTTCTTTAAAAGGATCAATGAAATTGACAAATCTTTAGCTAAACTAAGAAAAAAAAAAAAGAGAGAGAGAAAGCAAATAACTAAAACCAGAAATGAAAATGAAGACATTACTACTGGCCTTATAGAAATAAAAGGGGTTATAACAGAATACTATGAACAATTGTGTGCCAACAAATTAAATATCTTAGATGAAATGGCAAAATGTTTTAGAAAAGCACAAATTACCAAAACTGACTCAACAACAAAAAGAAATCTGAGTAGACTTATAATGAATAAAGAGATTGAATAAATATCAAAAGCCTCCCACGAAGAAAAGCCCAGGACCACAAGGCTACATGGATGCATTCTGCAAAACAGTTAAAGAAAAATGAATACCTATACCTCTCAAAATCGTCTTAAAAAAAATAATAAAAGCGGAGGGAATACCTCTAATGGTATTCTGAACCCAGTTCCACCATGGTGGCGGGAGTAGTTCCCCGACACCACCAAGCAATTCTTAGACACCATTTGGGTGCCTACAATTCAACTCAATTTTGACGCTACTTAGAGCTAACACCAGATTCCATAGGTAAAATGCTCAGTCCCTCAAGACTGCCTTCCAACTCACAATGACAATCACAAGCCCAGGTTGGTACCTAAACGCTGACCAACTGGCTATAAATTAGAGGTTCCCAAGAACCATTGCTTCGGTTCAATTAATTGGCTGGAGTGGCTCACAAAACTCAGGAATCCCATTTACTTACTAGATAACTGGTTTATTATAAAGGATATTAAAGGAATTAAAGGATAAGAGTCAACAGTCAGATGTAGAGATACAGAGGACAGAATATGGAAAAAGGATAGTGTAAGGGCCTATTTAGCCAGAGCGACTCCATCTTGGTTCAAAGCCATTTTGTTGTTTGTGCAGTAAAACTTAAACTGACCCTGCGCCCCCCCGCCACCCAGAGAAACTTACTTAGATGCAAGTCTGGGAAACCAGTAAAATATGGTCGGCCAGTTCCTAATAACAGAGCCCAGAATACAAGACCAGGTCAGCCAGTTCCTGATAACAGAGCCCAGAATACAAGGACCAGTCAGGCCAGGTGAAAACATCCAATCAGTAAAGCGCACATACTATCTCCCTAACCACCAAAGAATGTAAACCCCGCCTTTTGGGCACCAAACTTGAGCGCCAATTCTGACCAGAGTAATAGGTTAGTTCAATTGTAATTCAATTGGCTACCTGCATGTGGCCTAACATGACTATACAATGTTACAATCTCCTTGGCCACCTATGTGTGGCCAGGATTTTGCTCTATAAAAGTTAGTCTGTGAGGCTGGGAGCGGTTGCTCTCTTCGGAGGCAGCCCTGGCCGGTCAGCCTGACTTCTAATGCTTGGCATAAAATAGAGCTTTGTATAACTTTCACCTTGTCTCAGTCTCGTTCCCCTGGCTGATCAGCCTGACTTCTAATACTTGTCATAAAATAAAGCTTTAAATAACTTTCACCTTATCTCAGTTTTGTTCCTTTCATAACAGACCCTAACAGATATAGAGATTCCATGCCCTC